TCTGAACAGTTTAGATGTGGCGTCTTGAAAATCTTGATCGAGCCCAGAAAGTTTGCTCAGCTCAGCTCCTAGTTTGATGAACTGAATCAAAAGAGAAAAAAATTGGATCAAATTCTGCAAAAATTTCAGAGCTATATGTGGCACACAAGTACTTCAAGAATGAAAATCAACAATAATTTCGATCAGATGCGAGCAAAACATAAATATACGAAAGTCACGAATTAGAATGACTCAACATTTAAACTGCAGAAAAAAAAAAGGGGACTGTCAAAACTCAAAACTTTATAACAACTGCAATTTAAAATCATCATTTCCCTCCACAAACTCCCAATGATACACATAAGACTGCATTATCAGAAAAATCCAGTACTAAAAACGAGCCCGGTTCTTTAAAAAATCATGGAAAAAACGAGGAAGAAAACAAAATAATAGGCATTAGCTAGAAACTAAAGCACTCATGCATAGCACCCATAAAAATTAAAACTTTTTTTTTCCTTAATTCGGAAAATTGTCGACTAACATTATTAGCATCTCCAAGCCGAAGCAGAGATAAGCTCCTTCCTCTGCCAGCAAAGCACGAGACTCGACTGCCTTTTCTCCACTTGAAACCCTCGAACAGGAGTCCTTTTGATCACACACTCCGCTTGAGACTCCGTTAAATTACTGAACACAACAGGCGAAAAACCATTGGACAAGAATAATGCACGCCATTGCTGTGTCTTCTCAGGAGCTCGAAACCGAGCTGCCACGATTTTCTCAATCCATGGCTGCAGCAAAAACCGCTCGATTTTTTGCAGCGAATCAATGTTCATGTTAACAGCGTCTAAAGACTCGAGAAGACTCGAGCACGACTGAAGAGCGTGGATAATGTGGTTAGCGAAAGGCAAATCATTTCTTTCGAATCCTCTCTCCACCGAGACAACAATTCTCGGCGACAGCTGTTTCACAGAACGAAGCACGAAAGGCGGCGGTGACAGCTGGCAGCTAGCTAGACAGCTGATCGGGAGATTCACCACGACTGCCTCGCCGTCAAACGGGCTGGAACTCAGTGAGTCAAAGCCCATCACGTCGAATTCGAACCCGATATTGACCTCGCTCGCGAACTGAATCAGATTCTCGCAAGTCAGGCCCATCTCGAGGTGATCGCGGGCCGAGGGTGAGGCGATGACAGCTGTGATTTTCAGAGTGGGCGGGCCTGATGGGCCCGAATTCTGCAATGCGAGCTCTTGCATGAGGGAGGCCCACTGCCCGCCGAGCCCGATATCGAAATCCACTATATGAATCCGATCAAAACCTTCGACGGCCTCGAGGATTGCCTGGTTGCAGGTGAAATTGGCGAATTGGACGAGAGGCGAGACCTCGGAGAAGGATTTGTAGGCTCCGATTTTGAGGACGAGGCTGAAAGGCGATGATGATGATGATGACGTGGCATTGTTGTTGTTGTTGTTGAGGAGGAGGGATTGCAAGGCCTCCTTGCAGTAAAAAGCGGCCCGCATAAAGGGCTTGCCGATGGGAGAGAGCTGGTGATTGAGCCGCGCCAATATCCCCTGCGCGTGAACTGGGTTTCCGGTTTGGACCAGCTCAGCCGCTTTGTAAATCTGGTCCACCACGGCCCGCTGAAGCTGGTGGCAGTCGTCGGGCTTGGGCCTTGGAACTGGGCCCACAGCCGGCCCATGGTGCAGATATGGGGGAAGGAACTGGAGCTGGTGGGGGTGTAGGTTTTCTCTTGCCATCAAGAATTCCGGGTGCTGCCCGGTGTCAGTCAATGGGCCCTTTGGGGTCGGCCCACCGGGCTGAAACCCTCCGTCGATGGGCCCGCCGGGGTTGTGACGCTTGGGCTGGGGTGGGCCCAAGAGGTTGGGGCTTCGGGGGTGGGGGTGGGAGAGAGGGAGGAAAAGGGAAGGGTTTTGAGTGTTTTGGGCTTGGTGATGGTTGATTAGTAGCTGGGGATTGAAAATGGGAGGCTTGATTTCAGGGGATGAATCGAAAACTATGGGGTTGAGGTTGGTGTTGAAGGGTGGAGATGGGTTTTGTGTGATATTCTGAGAGAATTTGAAATTAGTAGGCGGATTTGAAGATAAGGGATTGTTGGAGGACCAACCGAAGCTGTCGTTACCCTTTTCAGATCTGCTGTTGGTGGGGAAGTTTGGGACAGCTGGCAGGAAGCATTCCCCGGAGGAGACGAAAACCTGATCCACACTCCCCGAGAAGCCGCTGCCGCCGCTGAAATCGAGCTCCGGCGTTGTTGAGCCACCGCCGCCGTCGCCGATGTGGAGGCCCCGGCTGAGGCAACCCATGGAGGAGGGGTCCTCAGGGTCGCCCATGATCCACCGGAAAAGGGAGTGTTCACCGCCGGGGGAGACGGCCACCGACTCCGACAGCACGCCCTCCCAGTCCTCCATGGCGAACTTCTCCGTGTTCCCGCCGGCGGCTCCGATATCGAGGGAAGGGGGGACGGGGAGGAGGTCGTGGTCAGCCCCGCCGCCGCCGCTGGTGGCAGTGGTGGAGTCGTGCTGCTGCCATTTGGGAGAGGGGTCCGCGTCCGAGACCGCCGCCACGCCGGCCGTATCCACCGAAGCAGCACCGCCGCCTAGGGAAGAAGACAGTGTTGAGGAAGACGCGGGCCGGCTGGGAATTCTTGCAGAATCCAGGACAGAGGTGGGCTCAACAAAGCTGTAACTGTTCCGATTCAAGAAGCAATTTTTCTGAAAAAGGTAATCAGATGAGATTTGAGGGGCGAAATCTGAAACAAATTTCTTGTTGTGAACAAGCAGCTGCTCCAACTCTAACACCCCCTTCCCCTCAAAACCATAGGGCAAGGGCATCCCCTTCATCTAACCCCCAAAAAATCCCCCAAATTTTCACCAATTTTTCTCAAATCCTCACGCTTCCAGACAAAAAAGGAGGAAAACCCACCAAAGCAAAAAACGAAATTATAGAGAAATGCAGTCTAATCCGCCAAATTACACCACTTTCCTCAAAGGAAAAAGAAAACCCACCAAAGCAAATGACTAGATTATGAAGGAATGCAGGCTAATCCAATGATATATACAAGCATATACATACAGATATGTATATACTCAAGAAAAAGAGTGGATTTTTCTAGAGAAAAAGGGAGAGAGAAAATTTGCTACTGATCTGTGAGTCGATTTTTTGAGGACCAACAAACAAACAAACAAGAGACTGCTTGAAGGTTCAAAAATGGAGTCTGGTTATTGTATAATTTGATTAATATCTCGTCTGATTCTTGAAGAAGGGGTGGTACAGGTACTGTGTCTGCCTTCTGTTTTCTGCCATGGATGCGTGCAACATAAAAAAGTAGTAAAGTTGCCCCCTTTCATTCATCCTCTCTCTCTCTCTTTCTTCTAGCTCGTCTCCCTCTTGTCTATTTTTTTTATTTTATTTATTTTTTTATTTCACCTCTTTTTTCAGTTTATTTATTTTATTATTTATGTGGCCTTGTCGAGAGTCCAGTTATCTTTCCTGCAAGGGTTTTCTTTCGTTTTTCCAGACAGTCACGCGCGAGAGGGGAGCGTGTTTTCAACGCTGGTGGTGAAATGGTAATTTCTTGGTGGATAATTTTAGAGTGTGGTGGATAATTTTATATGGGAGAATGTGACATTTGAATTTTTCTATTTTTCAAAAAAATGAAAAAAATAAAATGATTTTATAGATTTTCCTTATGATATATCATTGGAGGGTTGAAGCAAAGTTTAAATTTTCTGAGAGAGATATATATTCATTATTATATATCATAATATAAAAACAATGTAATTAAAAGTATGATTATGTATATAATAGTTTTAAAAAATGTATATATATTATAATTTGTGTGTCTAATAGTTGTGATGTCTAATACAAAGGTGTAGGTGAATTATGAACTTTTATTAGAAGGATATAAAATAAAAAATAAAAATTAAAGTTGATATATGAATATTTAGATAATAATTTAAAATGATTGTTATTTGTAGATATATGATTTGAAAAAATATAATTTTCTTTAAAAATATGTAAGTAGATAAATAGTAAATCAAAGTTAATGTGGTATATAAGAATTATTAATGATATTATTTAATTATCTTTATATATATATGTAATTGCTGGCAAGCTTTAACAAATTTTATTCAGCCAGCAATTAGTAAATGTATGACTTCATTTAATAAAAATTTTTATGACCAGCATTCAAATGGAAGTTACACAAATAAAATCTTATTATTATTGATTTTTTATCCTGTAACAACTTTACAATATTTTAAATTTTCTGAATACGTAATATTAAATTATTTTACAGCTAATATTCCTATTTTGTATTATAGTTATACAATAACAAAAAACAAAAAATTGATTTATATGGAAGTTAAATAATTTATATTTATATTATACATTTACATATAGTCAAAATTTTAAAATCTAATACGCACTTTATCTAATTTTAATTTTTAAATATTATATACATACATATAATATATAAATTTTTGTTTTCATCTTTGCATGTGTATAGGATCGAATACTAGTATTAATAATATTGTGGATAGTTGAATTTGATTTTTGGTTAAATTGTACAAAAATTTGTCCAATCACTCAAAATCAATTTTAATTAGTAGTCAATAGGCCCTTTAACTATAATGACTTTTAGTTATAGAATGCCCAATAAATGTGGAAGTTAGAACTTATAATTAGCTTATGAATCATTAAATTAGCAAGCTTAGTTGGGCTCGTTAGCTACACTTAATCCAAGTGCACAAGCCCAGTGTAGCTGAAAATGTGAAAAGGGCACAACTAGAAAACATACATTATTCATTAATAGTAGATTTATAAGTATAAATGAAATGTAAATGTTTCCATACAANAGGTGGGGGCTTGTGGCGCTTCGAGGACTATTTTTGGATTTTGGGAAGGGTATAATTGTCATTCTTCACTTTATTTTATTAGTATGAAAATATGTTTTATTTTAAATAACAATATGTTTTATTTTAGTATTTACTCTCCCCAATAATTTACCTGTCCCTTTTGCAGTTTTCCCAATTTACAAATTAATCCTCATTAGTTCGTATTATTTCAATAATTTGTTGGCAAATACAAATGATCTTGATTGAACACAAATTTTGATAGGTTTAGGGCTTGATTGTTTATGAATTATTTCATTCTCATTTAGTACATACTCAAAATCTAACTCAATTTTAACTCAACCCCACTATCTTTAATATTATTTATATAATTAAATAATACAAACCAATCATTCTTACACATCACATCAACTTCAATTCACTATTCATCAACTCACATAATTTTAACTACCAATTATTTTCAATTATTTATCTCCTACTTTTACATCAAATCAATTTTAATCATTTTATTTTAATAATTATTATAATACATTCTTAAAATTCCACTAACAACTAACCATACCACCTTTTTTAAAATTAACTATGGTTAACCAAAATAATTCATTTTGAATAAATTATTTCATAAACAATCATCCCCTTAACGAGTCGAACCGTTATAAATTTTTAATAAAAAAAATGCTTTTATTTGATGAAATATCATATTTATGCTGGTAGTATTTTCTAGAGTGCGATATGATATTTTAATTTGATAGTATGTATAGTAAATAAAAAAATATAGTTACTTAGGCATGCATAACATTGACCTAATTATGAATTTAAATATGTTTACTAAATGTTTTTTTATAGTTCATTTTAATTCTCAATCACTAGGCGTAAATTCAAGAAAAAGTTATATGCCTTGACATTTTTGTGCAATTTTATCCCAAGATTGGGAAAAAAAATTGAGATCTTATTAGTCAGTCCTTTTTAAGTTACTAATTTCTTTTACAATTACCACATTTGAATAAGTAAACTGATATATACCCAAGCATGCATTTCCCTCAAGCTTTCATGATAAAATTTTATACTTTTTGTCATTATAACTTGACAATTATGTTTCATATATAAAATCATTGTTCTAATATATTATGTTAATTGGTAAATTTCAGTAAATGCTTATGTGGTCCATAATTTCCAATAGACCCATTCTCACTTTTTGCCAGATAAATATTTCAGTTCTCTCAAATGGGACAGAATGATAAGATGCACGTTTGTTTTCAACCATTAATTCTCCTTTTCTAAGTTCAATTAGCGTGCAATTGACTTCTATTTGAGTAGTTTCTCTTATGAAAAATGTATAGTGAGGGACTGAGGGTATTAATAAATATTTCGATATAAAGTTATATAAATAAACAAATAATAATTTATATATAACTATAACTATGTGAGTAGATGAATATTTTTATTTTTGGTAGAATTATTTGTGGATGTGAAAATCTGAGAATATCTGTTCATTTTGACCTAGTCATTGTCATTGTGCAACTGAACTTCTTTTAAACCAGTTTAAAACCCTTGTAACTCATACTTTTGTACGGGCATTTCAAATTTATAAATTGAAATATGGATTTTTTTTTAAAATTTTTTTAGAAAAACAAAGTTTAAGCACCTAGAAATATAACCGTTTTATATAAATTAAATAATTATTAGCAAACATAAGCTTTTATTAACTAATTAATTTACTAAAGTGACATCTGCATTGGTTTTGCTAATATTGAATTACTACTAATCTTGTTTTGGTAAAATAAGAAGCCAATAATTCTTGCACCAAAATCAATTTAGAAATCAAACATTTTTTTAGAGACCCAATGAAACACATATTGTGCCAAAAGTGTG